CGACCGTTAAGCCCCTGGCTCGAGCCTTGCAACGCGCGCGCGCGTAAACGAACATACACACCGGAGAAAGTTCACGTTTATGCGTTTATGAAGCAGCAATAAACGACGATGACAGGGGCCCAGGCAGAAGGGAAAAAATCATGGATAGAAAGAGAAAGATAGAAAGACGTTTACGAGACCTAGCTGAGGAGAGTGGCCGTCTCGCCCCCGGACCAAAGGGTTGCGACCGGGCAAGGGTTGAACGGGGGCCTCGTGTTTGGGTTTCCAGTTTATTGTGGCCGACCCTTTCGTTGCCCCTCCTCGTCCCTGTCGCTGCGAGAAGACAGAGGGATTTCAGGAAAATATCGAGTTTCCGTACTCTCTGTCTTCCCACTGGCCGGGGGCATTACGAACCGACAATGGGGAGACACTTCCGGTTTCCTCCGGATGAGATCCCCCTACTCTTTTCTCTTAGGGTACGAACGATCATCGAGGCGCTGAGATTCGAATCATGAACGATTTGTTATCCTTTCTTGTGGAAAATGAAATAATATAGAGATAGGTGGAATGGTTTAGTATTGTTCTACGTCGCGATCTACTTATGACTCGATCTTATATTCAACAAGTATTATACCCACGGAACACAGGTTGAACCTGAGTTGAAGTATTATATGTTTATGTTGTGGAAACATACGTTTCTTTAATACTAGGTTTACGGGACGTTTCAAAAAAAGGAATAGATTTTGAAATATTCACCTATATTTCGGGTCAGTGTTTCTGTTCTGTGTAGTTTTAATTTCCGATCAAAAAGTTAAGGATATCCCATCGAATAGAATACTGAAAATCTAGCATAGTCTGCGACGAACATTTTCGAAGTAATGTGCTGGTAGCGAACTGATTAATTCTTATTAGCAATTGTTCTAGTTACTTGCAACCCAAACCTAATAAATCGTCATTGAACGTAAAACATTCCCGCAATCTGGAGTCAATTCACGTGACTCCATAATGCAAACTAAAGTTTCACCTAGCTCGATTCCAGCCTAATCCGCGAGAGGGTTAACGCGTCCCTCGCAGTTACGAGCGTCCTCGTTGACACACCGTAGAGGAAAGTTCTGCTCGAGTGTGTCATAAAAGACGTGGGTGGTCGTCATCTGGACAGGTGGCAACGATACTACCAGTTCTCTCGCGTGGGAGGCGCGACAATGGGGTTCCCCTAAGGCAGACAATACGTACGCTTCTAGACGCTATAAATCTTCGAGCTATACAACATATGGTGCAAGTAATCGCAACGTTATCGATCCCAAGAGTTCAATCGAAGGGGGTACTAACAAGATAATCAGCCGAATTTTTGTTTCTTTTTTCTTTTTAATCGCGATTATGAACAGAAGTGGATCCGTGGGGAAGGATCGTGGTCCCCACGAAGTCATACTCGGTCAGCGGTAAACCGATCCCCCGATGCAGCCGTGAAATTCCACGCCAGTCGGTGGCCTAGTCACGAGGTCTGGCAAAGGAAATGGCCCCGAACACGATCGAACGCATCGCCGAGAAAGATATAGTTTCGCGGTACGAAAACCAGCCCCCCGCCCTCCCCTCCCCTCCGCGCCCGCGCTCCGGAACGGGGCAAGTTCATCGAACCGCCATCACGTTTTTTGCCCGCGAGCGCGCACGTGCCGTATCGTCCTTCGAATCGTTTGCCCCCGGTGCGGTTTCGGTTGTACCCTCCAATTTCGTATTACCGCACCGTACAGACCGTCCGCGAAAGGGAAATGAAAGGTGAACGCGCCACGAATTGATTTATGCCCGCCGGATTCTGGGTAATATCGCGCAGAAACGAAATTCATCTTGCACGGGAACTGAGATCCCGATTTCGTTCGTTTGATTACAGGAGTATTTTTATTATTCGTTGGAACATACTCGATTTAGTTCTTGAACGTTCGATGCGTGGTAAAGCGGAGCCTCCTGTATCCGAACTAACAGGGAAACACGGGTGTTCGGATAATGGAAGTTTGGGATAATAGAAACGATCAGTTGGCTGATATTAAAAACTTAGGTTAAATGTTTATTTAACGAATTAGACTTTTATTTATTTGTTTGTGAATTACAGACATTTTTAGAGCATAAGTAACTCCGTTGAATTGAATCGAAGTGGAGAAAGTGTACGCTGTATATTCACGGTCGTAGGTATTGGGACACTTATCGAATATGCAGTAAGTGTTACGTTACAAGGCATTATGAAATTCTTGGAAGTCCAGAATGAATATTGCTTAGGAGATATTGTAGCTCGATGGATAATGCTTATGCTACTATGAAATAATAAACGTGGCCTGAAGTATATCATTTTTATGAATCATCATATTTTCTTTATATAAACCAGGTATCTTAATACTTATGAACGGTAGTCTATGTAAGCAGCACATGCTTGCAACAGGAGAATGTATTTGTTGCTGAGAGACACCGTGGTTGGATAAAAGAACGTTCAAATATTAGGGTATTCATATAATAAGTGTTCGGATACGGGAGACTCTATTATAAAACGATTTTCTTATTGTATATAAGTCACATTCAGTCACGTCGGGACTGACAAAAGGATTGTGATCTGCTTAGGCCGATCCGTCCAGTGGAACATTTATTTAATTTTTTACTAAATTACAGAAATCTACAGAAATTTAACCAGAATATTCTCGAAATTTGTGTGCCACTGACAGAGTCCTCGATGGAAACTGTGTCGCAGCGGCTACAAAACACCGAATACCCTACATTTCTCGTATAATGAAATCAGTCTGGGGTCTCCGTCTGGCACATAAAATCGACTCGATCCGCATAAATTTCAAAATGACAATGAACTCCGCCTGTACACCTCCGCGCGTTAAGTAGTACGCGACCGAAACACATATTCGCCCGACAAGCATCGTCATCCGCGAACATTTATATCCTCGAAACACATAATTCCTGCGCCAGAAAACGTCGACGCACCGACAAAGCGCGAGAGCAGCACTCGGGGAATCTATACCCAGAAAAATGCAGCTGAACTCGTCGAGTGCCCAGAAAGCTTCTGAAATCAGACGTCAATTAAGGAAAGAAAAAAGAAGAAAGAAATAATCAAGGGGAATCCAGCGGGACGAGACAGAGTTAGACTGTACTCGGAGAGAGGAGAGTATCCAAGCCCAGGACAAAGACAGAGGGAAGCGACGGCAGAAGAGAGGCCGAGAGGAAGCCGGCAAGGTTAGAGGGAGACGAGGAAAAGGCAGAAGGCGAAACGGCCGACGAGAGCTGCTGCTACGGTGCCTCTCGCGATATATGTGTATACTATACGTGTGTATGTGGTTGGCTCGAGCGAGAGGGCGCATGGCCTTGGCCGCTGCTGCGGGGTAATTCAGTCAAGGTTTCGGCCGATGAACTTCCTCCCGACGGGAGGAAGGAGAGCCCCGGCCGGTAGAGGTCCCGTCCCCGTCCATCGAATGGTGGGGGTAACGCTCCGGCCAATCGTCGCGGCACGCGGCCCAACGAGCCGAGCTCCGATTGGCTCCTGTGCCCGTGACGCCGGTGCCCGGGCCCGCAGCCGGTTGTCAGTGACCTCCAGCATTGAAAATACGATGAACTCTCTCGGGGGGGCTCTCCTCTCTCTTGGTAAGAGAGCGCACCGGTGCTGCGTTGCGCTGTGTGTCCTCTACTACATACTAGGTAGCCAGGGCGTAGACATTGTAGATGGTCTCTCGAGGCGGCCTGGCGTAGCAGGCAGGCAGGCAAGCCACATCAATCCCTCCCCTCCACCGTCGGCCTCACCGGCTCCGAGTAAGGGCTGCACGGCCCCCAGGTAACCAACACTCGGCAGCGCCGAACTCCAGTCAGACCAACGCGAACCTCCCTCGAGCGAACACTTACTTTCACTCTCTTCTTCTGCCTCGTCCATCCGCGGGGCTATCCTTTCGTGTATACGGTTCTCGTGGCGTTCGCGTTTTCTACAGTATATACACTCTCGTCGCGTGCTGACACACACACACACACACACACACACACGGGTATATACACCCGGGCGGTAGTACTGTGCTGTGGTCGTCGTCTTCGTCGGTATAACACGGAGGTGGTGTCGATCGGCTGGCACAGAACGCACCTGCCCCTGCCTATGGTAGGACCTCCTGGTTTCAGTGTGACATCCTTCGAGGATTCCTTTCTTATCGCGTGATCGATCCTTTCGCGTGGTGGTTCAACGTTTCGAGAGTTGATCGACACAGACTTGGAGAAAGAGACGGATTGTGGTGACTACCAAGTGAGATATATAGTGTATTTTATGTAAGTCAGTGATCTGGGGGAACACTGTGGACTAATGTCGGTCCTCAGCTCAGTGCAGTGCCGTGCCAAGTGGATGGTAGATCGAAGATTTTAAAAAAAGTATATATCCTGGATTTTTCCCTCGATCGTCGTATTATATACATCGATTAAACATGATCCTGACGCCGGATAGCAGCGCACAGGTCGCTACCTCGCCGACCGCCCCAGAATCACCGATCTCGAGCATCACGACGTCCCATGGATCGAGACCGTCCGGCGTCTCATCGCGTATGTCATGCGTCTCGCACAGCATGTCGCCGGCTTATCACGTGGCCCAACTGCCCCATCATATCAGCCCGAACATGCCGACCATGGATTCGACCGTTTCATCGGCGAAACCTGAGCCTGAATTGAACATAGGTACGATCCGGTGGTGCCTCTTCAAAATACAATTTATTAACTCAGATCTCTTTGGATGTGATCTTTAATTGCAAAAAGAAAAAGAATAATGATAATAAAAGAGAAAATCAGATCACGGTTGAACGATCTAGAATCCATTCGTAACTGGGGAGGGGAACGGAAAAACGATCGCGCGCCGCCGTGACAGTCGAGTGAAAGCAGAAAGTTGCGTTCTCCACGCCACGTGGACAACCGGGTGCACACGTCGCGTTTATCGTGTGTACACACACGTCACTGTGAACTAAAACTCGAGTGTAATTGACAGGTGTTTTTTTTTCTCTCTTCTATTGCAGAATTCGACGGGACCACGGTATTGTGCCGCGTATGCGGGGACAAGGCGTCCGGTTTTCACTATGGGGTACACTCCTGCGAGGGATGCAAGGTGAGTCCGAAATTCTTCGATAGAAACTCGATATGAGTCGCTGACTGCGGAAAGTTTTCAGTGCAGAATCTCCGTTCCGACCAAGAAATTCGCTTTTTGATCGTGTATCACTTTTGTGGACTGAATACATCGTTTTGCCATCTATATCCAGTGACCTGTTAGTTGTAGTTATTTAAATAAACGTTGATGTAAATAATTCCTGTTTACTACAGAAATCGAACATGTTCAGGAAATTTCAGTTCCCAAAAAATGTTTTTCTGCTGAAAATTATAAATTGTTGACGTGTCCTCTTTCCACAGTTAGCGATTCATATACAGCTACAATATGCGATTACACTGATCAGCAGTTTCTCGATCCGCGGCTTCTGTTCTCGATATACGATACGTATTTTTTTGTTTTTCGTTGCTGTCTAGAAACGGTTTGTGGTGAATTCGAGAAATATTGTAGATCGTGAATCGCGTGTTCGTGTTCAGCCGTGACATTTTCGATAGTTTTGCCTCGTAATCGTTCTCATCGTCGTACAGACGTTTCGCGAACATGTGTGGAATAGGCGTAGTGTGCGAATCGACGGGAATTATCGAAAATGTCAATGCGACGATACGCGATACGGTGGCCAGGAAGTGAACGGAGCTCGAATGTGAATGTATGATGCGACCCAAGGCTACGGAAGAAGCTATCGACCGGGCACGGTTGCTCGACCTTGTGCACGCGGAAATCGCGAGACGACGTATCCAACGTGATCCTTGATGGTTGCCCTCCTCGAGACCCGGAGATAGGCGAACGAAAAATCTTGGCAAGGTCCTCCTTCTCTGGCTGACTTGAACTTTGTCAGGGTTACCAGAAAAATATATATAGAATCTTAAACCTGTCACAACCGTTAGAAACCCATGTTAAATAATTTCCATTCCAGTCAAATTAAAAATTCTTTATTGATATACAGAAATTTAGGAAAAAGATTGTTTGACAAGGAACTGCTGGATTATTTAAAGGTTCGAATAGTGTCTATGAGAAAACGTCTGATGCAACAGGATACGCGGTCACCCGACGATTTTTCGTGGAAAATGGGGTGGCGGAAAGGTCGAGAGCCTGCTGCTGCCGGGGACAATGGTAGTCGTCGCGGACGGTTACGCAAAAGGGAGCGTGAAATGTGGCGAAATTCTTTGACGAACCGATATAACCTTCGACGAGCATTTTGGGAAAAACTCGTGAGAAGGGACCCGGTGGGACAGGTAGATTCCTCGGATCTCTCGCTGGGGCGCCCTGCTTTTGTGTGTCGGTGGTTTTTCGTGTGACTGGGTTTCAGGGCGAAAGAAGGGGGGGTGGAAATCGGTTGGGCCAGGTATATATACATGGTGTAACAGAGAATGCACATCCGTCTGGACGACTTCCTGTCCAGCCTCCTTTATTTTCGTGTTCGTTCTCTCAGGTATCTCCTCTAATTTTCCAGGAAAACCTTTGATCTTCCCTCTGGGAGTAATAATTCTTCGATAATCCATCTGAACGCAATATTCTTCGATGGTTATTCAAATATACTCGATTGAATAATTCGTTCAAATTAGGTAGAGACGGTAAAAATGATTTGGTGTCGGTATTCTCGTCGATCAATAATTCTCGAGCGTCGAGAAGATGATATCTCGCCTCGGCGATACCTCAAATCGGATGTAAATCGTTTTCCTCGAGACTGATAATTACGTCCCGCGAAGGCCAACGTCCTCGTGATCGTCATTGTGCGACTTCAAGGAGGCGGCTGGTAGAGTGGAGGGGGAACACAGGCCGCGAATACGTTTTAGGAAGTGGTAGAACACTGCCACCACCGCCGTTCCTTTACCACCTCCACCGGTGTCCGGGGCGGCCTGGTGGTGGGACTCGTTCAGCCAGGTGTGCGAATCGGTGACTCTGCGCTCGCAGATCTTCGCCGTCCGTCGACCCGGCAACTTCAACCAACTTGCTTCTTACCATCACACTTATCCAACGATGACTTCTCTCTTCCATCTACCCCATCAAACTCTACAGTTGAGACAGTAAACTCCATTTCTCCCAAAATCTTGCTACTCCAAAGAAGAAACCCAATACCGTGAAATCATCTCCAGAGAATTGGACAATATTCAGCTTTCTTTCGGAATTTCACTTTTCCCACTTACTGGACCCACTTTCCCGGAACGATCAATTGTGTCGGGGCACCCGTGGTTTCCAAAAGCCCACACCCAGTTAGCTAGTTTCTGAGAGGTCGGGACTAGAAAGAGAGAGGGACAGAATGGTACCCAAAGCCTAAAGAGATGATCGTTGCCTAACCACGGGGAAGGAGAATTTGTCCCTTCCGGTGTCGCCATTTGACCCCCGTGGTGGCTGGTGTCCTTTCAATTGTCATCACCGAAAACTGGAGATCGAGCGACGTTCCTATTCGGATAATATCCGTCCCACAAAAATTTTTTTTTCCGTCTCTACTCCCCACTGGATGATCCACGATAGAGCGACGTAGAGGAGTAGGGTCTCTCGGGGCTGGTTGACTGAGTCAGTAACTTATGGCGGCGGTGCAGCTAGTCAGCCGGTATGCCGAACCAGTCGTCGTCGTCGAGTGACCTAGCCGCTAGCGGTAGAGACTGTCTTATGGTACTGGAACCGAGGGTACCCGTGGAAAGGGAAGAGAACGCGGAAGAGTGTTGGATATCTTTAAGACTGGGTCGCTCGGTCGCGCACTGCCGTTGCACCATTTCGCCATAGCGACTGCTCGCGCTGCTAGGCCACCGCGAAGCTACTTTTCTTCGACTCCAACGCGATTCGTTCCACCCCCACCTTCCTCCATGCGCAGGTTCAAGGAGTCATGGCGTAGGCTGTAACCGGTCATCTGGTTTGAAATAGAAAATACCCGAAATTTATTGACAAAGGATCAAGGAGTCACGGGTTAGCCTTTTCTGATCATCTAGCTAGAAATAAAAAATATAAAATCCTCTGATAAATCTACAAGAATATCCTAAATTCGCTGATAAATACAGAATACTATGAACCTTCTGATAAATCGTCCAGGGTACTCAAATGTCTCCTTATTCCCTTTTCAGTCGTCGTTAGCTCTATAAGTAATTCCACCCTTAAAAAAACCGTATTTCCCGTGAACGTTTCTTTTTTTTCACCGCCAGAGGGAGCGACGGGAAAATTCCGTGGCAGCTCGCGAACTCGGCTGGTGGCCCAGATTTCGTCGGTCGGGACGTTGCCCTCCATGACACTTTTCGTGCAACACCACCGCGTCACTGACCTGGGCTCAGGTTTTAACGGCGCACGAGAGATTCTCGTTGCCGTAATCACGTGGCCGCGATAAACGCGCGGCGATAAAAGACACGGCATCCCGACGACACCGGGGGTTCGGAAATAACCGGCTCGATTCACGAAACCCACTCACCGCCACCCGAATGCTAATGGCCCCATTTGACTTATGCATACGTAGTGCATCTTTCGCTAATCTGCTTTTAGGGGTCCGTATATTTCACAGTGTGTAACCGTTCTTATTGAATACCGTCTACAAACTTCCATTATTTCGCGGTAGAATCGTTTCAATTTCTTACGATCTTTGTTACGTTACGGATTAACGCCTGTAACGTTCATCCCTGGTACTTCCCTTCGGAAACACATTCGGTGACGTGGAAGGTATAGAAGCCCGTGGAGAGAAGAATTCTACTAAATGGGAAAAAACAAAAATGTGGTTTTTTTTTTTCTTCTTTTTCCGTGGCTCTGTAAATCTCCCTGGCGGGACAATCAGCGGTGGAGGTGCGCGCGGCCTGACTCTTTTTCCGGAGGGTTGAAAACCAGGCGACCGGTGCATTAACCCTCCGGTCGTCGACCCCCGAGCCAGTTACGTCACACGGCTCTTCCCTCCTTCTTCTCCTCCCCTGGCCCCCCTTCCCAGCCAGCGAGCTCCCTCTCCCTACCCCCCCCCCTTCGGTTTGCCCTCTCTCCCTTCTAGCTCCTTCCTCCACCACCTCCTTCTCCTCCCTTGCTTCCCTGCCCTCCTCCCACCCCTTCCCATCCGCTAAGAACCTCTCCTCATCCGCCCTCCCGCTCGGGTAACCGTCATTTTTGATGTCGTAACGAGTCGTGATCTCATTTTCATTTGATTGCGCGGAGTATTTCGGTGCTCTCGGTTGGGGTTACTGACCCCGGTGCATCTACTTTAGAATCGGGTCAGCCGCTTATTATCGTGGTAGGTGTTCGCTCGACGCGGTATCTCCGGCCGGTCAGAGCCCAGAAAGAGAGGGGGGAGAAAGAGAGAGAGAGAGAGAGGACGGTTCAAGATAACGCTTGCTTGCCTGCCTGCCTGCCCCCGCCGCGAGGAATCGAACGTCACGCTTCCATTCCGCCCCCGATAAAGCCACCCCGTGAAACACGACACTCTTGTGCCTCTACGAGAGGATGCCTAGCACCCGTACTTGCGGTGCAGTTTTTGGATATAGTTATTATTGGGATAGGTTTGGAATTTTGAAGGACGATGGATGGCGATTTTTCTGTGAATGGAGGAGGGTATTTGAGCGATTTTGGTTTTTGAAAAATGTAAGTGGGGGAACCATAGACGGCTGTTTTGGATTAATCTGATAATGGTTCAAGTAGTTTTCTTCGTATATTCAAGTGATTTATCGATCATTTGCTGTAGACAATGATATAACTGAAATTTACACTTTTTGAGTGATTAATATAGAAAAAAGGGTTGTTTTCTGGTCTTTTTATCGGTTGAATCCTGTAAGTGAGCTTCTACGTCAGGACAGTCATTTTAATACGTACAAAATTATATCGAACGAAACATTCAAACTCATTTTTTCAGAAATCGTAATTGTAGCAAATGAGGGTTAACATACTTTCTATTGTATGTTAAGAGCAATTTGTCCAGACTCGGCTCGTTGGGATTTTATTTCGGGGGACTTTGAATAATGGAAATAGCACCAGAGGTTTCGATTAGCTTTGTTTGATTGGAAAAAGAACTTTTCTAGCTCGAAATCCGCGTGACAATTCCGAGTATCGCGGAAACAGAAAATAGTTCGAGTGATGACCTCGGCGGTCGACTTCCCCGGTATCGATGCCCGGGGAATAGAGCAGCGAACTGTTCGAGGTCAAACGAGAGTATTAAAGCTGCCTCGGTCAACGGCACCGTTTCTTTTCCGCCCGAGTTTACCCTGATTTACCCGATCGTTCTCGACGGCGTTTTCGAATGTTCTTCGATGTTCGATACTACTTTTCCTCGATAATGTTCTCGACAAAGCTCGTAATCATACGATGCGTTGAGATGAAATCGTAAGAACCTTTTTCCATCCCCGATCTACAGGGTGCTTCAGAAATCACGAAACCCGCAAAATTGTTAGTAGAGGATCCTTTCATAAAGAAGGGCAGCATTAAAACCACCCATAAAAAACAAGTTCTATAAATTTCATGTGTAAAGGTACTTCGCGTAAAAATACCTGCAAATTCGAAAATTTTCACGTTCTACCTGTGGGACAACTTTTAACTCCAAAGTTACTCCAATTTATGGCACCATTAAATCCATAAACGAAAAATAAAGCAGTCCTGCCAGTTTCTGCCTTCATAAAAATAGTCCAGATTCGTATCGCCCCCAATAAAAACGCGTGCCCAAAAAAATCCCCGAAGCCACTCGACCCCAGAAACGGTCCACAACCTTCGATCCGACCGAAGGGGTGGGCAAGAGAGAAATTTTCCGCGCGATTTCCCATGGTGAGCGCGGATTACGCGATCAGCATCTCTGACCTCGGCGATCGACTTGGCCGATACATCGTCGTCGTCCGTAGGGGAAGGTGGAGGGGAACCAAGAGCGAGCGGCGAATTCTTGGGGTCGTAGGTGCGCGTCGGAGCGAGCGAGCGAGTACGCGCGAGCGGTTAATGCCCCCGAGCGAAGCGGAGAGTAGTAGTATATTGCCGTCGCGTTTCGAGTCTCTTTGTAGGCGCATGCGCCCGTACGGGCGCGCGCATTATGTACGTCACCGTTACTCCGTTTCGTGTCCTGTCCTTCTCCTCTCGCCCCCCCCCTCCCCTTCCAGAGTAGTACCCTGGGTATATCTCTCACTAGGTCTGTCTCTCTTTTCCTTTATCTTTTGGTCCTTCTTTGTTTCTCCACGCTCCTTCTCCCTCGCTGGTTCCACGTCTGTTCGTCCCCCTCCCCTCCCCCACTCCTTACCCTACGCCCGTGGGAGCAGATACGCTCACCTTCCCCTACCGCCCCCTCTCATAGTGCCGCTCGAACTCCCCCCACTCCCCTCCGCCGATGCAATCGCGCGCGCTCCGGTCGTTGGCCTCGCGACCACGTCGTGTGTATATCCCACACTCTCTTTACCTACATCTGTGTACATACGTGAACGCCATCCCCTCATGTGTGTAAAAGAGATGCATCAACACACGCACACACACACACATACATAACCGAGCAAGTGAGCGAGAGACCGCTCCGGACTCGCTCCTTTCGCGGAAAATAAAAGCGAACCGGTGAACGTGACTCGCGGCTGGCGCGGCCGTACAACTAGCGCGCGCGACCCCGGGGTTGTTGGACCCGTGGAATTCGCGTCGAGAACTGGGGATGACGGGCTGATACCTCGAGATCTTAGGTGATCTGATTCGAGGGACCGTGTTCGGATTTGTTTAATTGAGAGAAAGTTACCGTGGTTGGAACGGGGAAGCAGGTCTCGTTCAGTGGTCCACGGTGGTATACAGCTGGGAAATGTAGTCTATAGAACGGAAAATGGAGGTACAGGATATTTCTTTTGGTCCATAGTGTCAGGATGAAAATTTTACTCAGCTAGCCTCCTTTGGGGAGTAGGTACTATCGCTGTGAATTTAGGTCAACGGAATGAAGTTTCCAACGCGGATCATCCAATCTTCTCGCCCCCCCCCCCTTCCTTTACCCTCTCGCTATTTTTCGTCGAGCACAGGATGTTCCCAAGGATCGCGGGCTCCCGATAGCAATCTGTTTGCACTTTCCGTGGAAATGACACAATAGAAGCGCGTGCGCCGGCAAACGTAAGTCCCGCTGGTGGCACGCGAAGGTGGTCGCCCCCTGACCCGTCCGGGGGGAAGTGGGAGAATGCACGGGTTTGAGAGATCGATGCACCGCATTCTCCCACAATCCCACCCACTCACCTACCCTCGGCCGGTTCCACCTCCGCCGGATTCCCGCCAACCGAAGGGGTTCAACAGGGGTTGCTGGCCTCGTCCGGGACACCCAGCTCGCGACCCATAACACGTTCCAGTTCCCCGAGATTTACCCAATTCGGTTGGTAATAACAGGCGAAGAAGAGGAAAAAGACCCTGGCGGAAATGGAGCCTTCTATTCGATTCATCGGCGATGTAAAATTCTCGATCAGAGCCGTTTGCATAGATGGTGGATCCTGTGGAAGGCTCAAAATCTTTCAACATTTTCGGTACGGACGATGAATATACAAGTGGTCCATAGAATTCTCGCTATGACCGAAGAGTACAGTAAATGATCGATGAGTGTTCGAAGGCTCCTCGGCACTGAATAATAAATATTTCGTATCATTGGCTTTAGAATTCCAAGCTCTGTCACTGTGCTAAACCTCATTTCAAAGTCAGAGTTACACCTGGGGATCTCTCCTTGTCAGTGCCGAGGTTTTTTAGAACACTCATCGATGATTTACTGTACACAAATCTTCTTCGAAATTCTAATCATACAATGCCTCCTTGGTCGTCGGGATTTAGTATCGCCTGGAATGTTAAAAGAAACGTCAAAAATCTCTTGTCTAGTTCGATTCTAGTCCAGAAGTCGAAACGAAATCTTTTCAATGGAAATGATGTTCGTAGAGCAACCGAGCAACGGGCGCTAGAAAGAGCTTAACATTGGCAACGCTGACAGTTCATTGACTTGCATCGAACGCGTGCACCGATTGACAGGCCCGGCGCGGTCTTTCCCTCTCTCCCTCTATCTCTCTCTCGCGCGGCTGGGCCTCTGTGCGCACGAAGTTGAGGTAGGCGAGGTCGCGTATCCTGACGTCACGAGAGAGTCACTTGACAACGGTGTGTGTCGCCAATTCCGTACGCGCCCATACGTGCATACACGAGCGCCTGCGCGTCCCCCTCCCCTCGCCCTGGGCATCGTGCAGAAGATAGGCGACGACAACCACGACGACGACGACGAACGGGTAGGAACGACGACGTTCCACGCGTCGTTCGTTACGTAACCGAGCCGCGCGCCGAGGTCGTTGACCGATACGCGGCCGGGAAGTTCCTCCGCCCTGACCTACCTCTTCTCCTATTCTCAATTAGCTGCGTGGAAAAACTATCGAAACAAGTCCCCTTTGAATTCCCCTCGATCGATTGTTCCACATCTTTTGGTCGTTTCTCATCATTCTTGTTCGGATTATCTGTTAGAAATACAAACATATCCAATTGTATTTCGAGTCCAAAAGATGCGCAAGAGTCATTGTCCCTAGTGAGATCATCTGTTAGGAATACAGAAATATCCAACTGTTTTTCGAGTCCAAGAAATGCCCAAGAGTCCATATTCTATTGGGATTATCTGTTAGGAATACAGGAAGATCTAATTGGGTTTCGAGTCCAAAAGATGCCCAACAGCATGATTAATCCCTATGGAACGGTCAATTTGCAATCTTATCCACCGTCACATCCGAATAGCTCCAAAAGAAGAAGCTGTGTAGGTTCTAGGAGGTTTCAGATGTACCAAAAGGGGATATTTATTCGATTCCCGCGTTTATATTCGGTGTACCTCGGGGACAGAGTCGTGGATATTGGGAATAATCGGGGAGGGTTGGGCGGGACATAGACCACGGGGTGGGTGGTTCCTTGCAGAATGCGGCAGGGAGAGGCGGGAAGAAACCCGTTAGTAGAGCGCTCGAAGCGCGCGCGTAGCCTCTATGGTCGCGGCGGTGGTCCGTTTACCCGACGAGGATCGCCATGAGCCCCAAGGAGAGGGTTTGCCAGGCGCGCGCGAACGGTACAGTCGGTTGAACAGGGTACGGAGATAGAGTGATAGAGCGAGTGAGTGAGAGGGAGCGAGTAAGTGTGTGAGAGAGAGAGACGAGGAGCGCCAGTGCGCGCAAGGGGGACTCTCACTTTCACGCGGTGAACTGCGGGTGAACGTCCGGGAATTGGGTCAGAGAGTCCCCCACCTCGACGAGCCAGAGGCAATGTGCCGAGGCTCTATGCTCTCTGTGCTAGAAAGAGCCAGTCCACAGCCAAGCTCCGATACAAACGGTCGCTTCTTTTTTCCCCCCCTACGAAACTCGCGCTGGTTTCGACTCGCATGATCAGTAACACCGCCCGTACAGTTACGGTTCGTTCGTTGGTGAGTTCAGTGGCTCGGCGCGGGCGTGCGTTCGTATCAGTGGAATTATAATTGTACACACGAAAAACTACTACTGTGTGTGTGTGTGTGCGTGTGTGTGTGTGGTGACACGAGAGGGTTTTCCAACCGCGATCGACACCCCCTCGCGAGTTCGTTATCGTCGTATGATTACACGACGATCAGTTTGATCGAAGTGCCCATCCAGAGAGAGCGAGAGAGAGAGAGAGAGAGAAAGAGAGAGCGAAAGAGAGAGAGAGAGAAAGAGAGAATCGAGAGAAAAGATTTAAGTGCCGCGTGCGAACGGCACGCGCGATCCTTAATCTCCGATAACTTCCGTGTGACAAAAATAAAAAAACATACAAACACTAAAACCGTTTTCCCTCCTGCGGCACACAACTTGGGCCAAAGGTGAATTAATGGGGTGCTTGTGCGAATGTGACCTGGCCGCCCCGCGTACGGGGACCAATTGCTCGTCGGGGTCCTCATCGGACAGTGACGGTCAGACTGACGAGGGTTTCGTTGGTGATTCGCAGGGATTCTTCCGGCGGAGCATCCAACAGAAGATCCAGTATCGGCCCTGCACGAAGAACCAGCAGTGTAGCATCCTGCGTATCAACAGGAACCGCTGCCAGTATTGCCGTCTCAAGAAGTGCATCGCTGTCGGCATGAGTCGCGATGGTGAGTCTTTTTTCGGTTACAATTTATAAACATTCCTCCCTCTATATTTCATCTCCATCTCTACATTCGCGTATACCCCGGTTCGTTTCGACTGAAATACCAAAAAAAAAAAGACAGTAGAGACAACGGGCATCGTCGCAAAGTAGACTTCTGGCGTGTCGTTCTTGCCGCTAGTTCGAACGGATCGTAAAAGCACGGTAGTAAAGATCATCGCAAAAAGAAAAAAACGTATCACCGCACCAGCAGAACCCACAGCGCCATTCCCTTTACCGGGATATTGTCGTGTGTAACAGATTTCGCCGAAAGTGTTGATTTCTAAAATCTAGAGTGGCGCGCGGGTCATTGACCGTTTGCGTAACGCTCTGCTCCCCGCGACACAGCAAGGAGCGTGCGTATGTCGCAATGGGCGAAAGTGGCCAGTTCGTCGTTTGAGAAAGCAGCCCACGATTGTATATATCCCCCGATCCGTGCTACGACGCGGATGAGCTTGCTTTCTTTTCGAAACATGGGCCCGATACATCCCTCCCCCGCTCTGACCCTCTTTCAACGCGAACCGTCCGCGCGGAGCAAGTAGATTCGACCGACGCGCCGCGAACCTACCCGGCCCCGGGGGGTCAACGACACACGGCGGGTCGCCATCGATATCCGCCGCTGGGATGCGACGACTTGCCTTCTTCGCGCGCTGGGTCTGATCTATAAACGTCTCTGTCCACTCGTGAGACCTTATATCTATCCATAAATGTACACACAGCAGACAGTGATCGCTCGAACAATCTCGAAAGGGACATTAGCCCCGTAGTGTTCGACCGTTTGTTTATAAGAGACAAGGATTCTTTCAAAGATAACCACCACGTTCCAGTTGGATAATAGTACGACGCTTTGTTCCGTCAAAGATAGTCCGAAGTTTCGAGAAGCAAGTCCCACACCGATATCAGCAACGTGGACTCCGCCGTGGGGTCAATAGTCGGGCATTGCTCGGCTTGCATGCGGCTCCACGTCCGTAGAAAGAGTACCGCTACTCGCCGCTACGTACCCGGTGACCCTTCCACCTCCTTCCAACGCTCCGTTTCCCCTCCGATTCTCCTAGACCGCCGTACACTGTCGCCCGATCATCTTCCCCCACTCCGCTGTCCGTTCAATCTCCTTCTCGAAGCTTCCCCTACCACGAGACCCCAGGCGAAGTGACAACGCGCCGTCGCGTGGCGCTACGCTCCGTGCGGAGACCTCGCGAACTTCGTCCCCTTCGCGGTCGCGTTCACTCCCCCCACTCCGTGTCCCACGGCTGAGCTTCCCCTCCGTCCGTGATCTCCCCTCCACTCCTCTTTAGCCCGCGACGAGCCACCTGGCGCTTCTCGGGGCGCATGCTCCTCTCCAGCCGTCCCGCCAAACCGATGCGCCTGACTTGCCCGACAGCACGCAATTCGCGACCGGACTCCCGCGAGGAACCTGCTGCTCCTCCGTACTCCGTCATGTTCCTCTTCGACTCTCGATCTTACGGAAGTCGTGTGTCGACGCTATTATAAATTTACTCGGTTTGGAAACGTTCTAAATGACGAATGGAGAGTCCACGATTATAAATTTACTCGGTCTAGAGAACGTTGTAAATGACGAATGAACAGTCCACGGGTGATACAGATTCTTTGAGAATATATCAAATCGTTCGATCATCGATGTTATATGCAGCTCCTATTGCTAGAAGGTGTATGTCCCCTATCTAGCGGCAACATTCGTACGTGACTCGGAACCAAAACGTTCACGACTCCGTGATCATCATAGTCGATGACCTCGTACGGTGGCCACCTCTGGCCAGGATCCAGATCCTGTGGATGATCCACCCCCGTTGAACGAGTGTATGCGCGTGTGCTCGTCGTACGTGTCGGGTCAGAAGTGGCCCGATAAACGGAACGAGAGAGAGAGAGAGAGAGAGAAAGAGTCGAATGTTAAAACGGAATCGATGACGCGCGGGGGAAGAGGTTAATCCTATCGGGAAAGAGGAGATACGATGATATCCAACGACAGCGGGAGAGAGATCGATCGTCCGTGAACAGATAAGTCGTACGACGGCAGCTGGTGACAGGGCAAATAGCCAGAGAGCCGAGGGGTTGCCCAAGGTCGTCGAGGGTAACTTACCCCCCGGCATAGGAAGTTCGCATCTGCGCACACAGAAGAGAGAGAGAGAGAGAGAGTCACCTCTGGCAACGGGGAGACCTGTTTCTCGCTTTAATCTTCCTCCGTTTCTCTTCTCTCTCGTATTCGAGCCCACGAACACACCATACAAATACACACACACACACAAAGAGGCCAGGAGCACATATACATACCTGAAGAGTGAGAGAGAGAGAGAGACACACAGAGTTTCATACAGGTACGCACCACCCTCTCCTTCCGTGCGGCTGATCTATCTCTCTCTCTCTCTATCTACCTCTCTTTCTCTCCCTTTATTTCTCTCTCTCTCTCTCTCTCTCTCTCTCTCTCTCTGTCTGTCTCTCTCGACGCTCAGCGCGTACATTCGCTCGCTATACATATAGTATATATAGGTCGGCGGTACGCCTCGTGCGGCTGTCGCTGAAACCAAGTTCAAGGCCAAAGGCTCAGCAAAGGCCACAATCGTGTGGCCGGGTGGTGGGAGTCGTTGATGGCTGAATAAGTGGAGGGGCTGTTGAACGCAACCCGCGGAACATCACTCAGTCGGCGGTGATGCTGTCTCGCGTCTGCACGCGTCGTACTGTCGCGCTCCTTTCTTGAAAACCTTACGAAGCGCAGCGTTGCGTGTGTCCTCGCTGACGGTGCGGGACGACGTTGTGTCGTACCGATAGTAATAGACGACGCCGCACATACGGATCCTGGGAGTGACTTGCCGGGACAGACGAGTCAGCCGAGAGGAAAAGCGTAGCCGAAGTCTCTGTTACCCTCTTTGGAAATCGAGACACACACATCGCGTGTGTGTGCTGCAAACAGACCGGGTGTGTGGGATAACATACGCAATTATCAGTTTCGCGTATGGTGGACCATACGAGTTCGACGGACGAGGAACCCGGTAGTGATTGTGCCTGATGGGAGAATAGTTTGTTTTTTTTTTTTTGTCGGTGCGCGTTGCAATTCAGTTCGAAGTGGAGAGAAAAACAGTTGAAAATACGCGGGTCTTTCACGATCGTCATGGGTGACGAGTTGCCCATACTGAAGGGAATCCTGAACGGAGTTGTCAACTACCATAATGCACGTAGGTGTCCTTTGCCACGGATATGGCATTCTCAAGACTCTATTTATTTATTTATTTTTTTTTTTAATGTCCCATTGTGAGACCGCGTTCCCTTTTCACCCCGGCTCGTGTCGTAGCTTGTACGTGTGTGCACACGGTGACTTTCTATCGGAGGAGATTCGTAGCACGAGGGCCCAGGCCAACACAGTCTGAGCCGCCGCCGTCGCACTTTCATTTCTCGCGCGCTCGAGAAAGTCGTGCGCTTTCCCCTCTCGATTTTTTTTTTCCTGGGCCCCCGAACACCCAGCTAGCCCAGGCCCCGTATCTGGTGCGGTGATAAGTTTTATGAAAAAGGAGGTGATCATGGTGGATGCCGTCTCATCAGCCTCGTAGGGGATACGTACTATTTTTCCGTGTTACACATGGGATCGAACCGACTCACCGCGAGTACAGAGTACCGATGCGACCCGAAGGTCGCTTCCCGAAGCGATACGCGCCGGCCGTGTGTGTCCGCCGCGTTGCATGATTCATCCATTGATCGCATTAACTATTCATCGACGTGTCCTTCGTTCGTTCTTTCTGCTTATCCATCGCCCGAACGACCTGAACTTGCGCGTACACCTATCTCTTTGTCCGTCTGTCTGTCTGTCTGTCGTCTAACCGTTCGACATCCGTTTTGTTTTCTTCTGATTATAGCGGTGCGATTCGGCCGTGTGCCCAAGCGCGAGAAGGCCAGGATTCTGGCCGCGATGCAGCAAAGTTCCCACAGCCGTTCGCAAGAGAAGGCGGTCGCCGCTGAGCTGGAGGACGAGCAACGGCTACTGGCTACCGTTGTCCAGGCCCATCTCGACACATGCGACTTCACCAGGGACAAAGTCGCGCCGATTCTCGTACGGGCCCGGGAAACACCGAACTACACCGCGTGTCCACCAACTGTGGTGAGTATTCGCAATATACACACGTATGGTCATAAGTGGACTGCGGATTTTTATGCAAAATAACATTTTCTTAAATAATTTATAAAGACAGGGGCCAATGTAAGAATTTAGTTTTTCTTTTAAGTGTCTTATTGGGTTCAAAATAAAATAGAAAACTCGTTGGATCGAATGAAAGTTTGTCTTTTATTGTATTTCACAGAGCCACATAGGCTATAAATGCATGAAATCCGAAGTCTAGTCATAAGACTTTGACATTTTTTTTTCTCGTCTGGTTCCCCCCCTAAATAAAATAGAAAACTCGTTGGATCGAATGAAAGTTTGTCTTTTATTGTATTTCACAGAGCCATATAGGCTATAAATGCATGAAATCCGAAATCTAGTCATAAGACTTTGACATTTTTTTTTCTCGTCTGGTTCCCCCTCTTCGTTGCTATTTTCTATTCTTTTTCTCGTCGAATCGCATTAAACAATCATCGTACAAACGGTGGGGGGGGGGGACTGAGATTCTTCAAAGTTCATTTTTACGCTTACGTCAACCGAGCCTTGGAAGACGGTCGTCCGTTTCACGCGGAAATCGAACCAGTCGTCCTCGACTTGCGCGCGCGAGAACAAGGAAGCATTCCTCTCGCGGCCGAAAGCACGAACGGACGTCTCCTCCCGAGGTGGACGTCGACGACCTTCGACGAGTTAATTCTCCGTGTCTAACCTCGGTGTTCTTTTTTTCCTCGGTTGTTGCAGGCATGCCCATTGAACCCTAACCCCCAGCCGTTGACTGGCCAGGAGGAATTGCTCGAGGACTTCTCGGAGAGGTTCTCGCCGGCGATACGGGACGTTGTGGAGTTCGCGAAACGCATTCCTGGATTCAACCTGCTTACACAGGACGACCAGGTCACGCTGCTCAAGGCCGGCGTGTTCGAGGTGTTGCTGGTCCGACTCGCCTGTATGTTCGACGCTCAAACGAACAGCATGATCTGCCTGAACGGGCAGGTGCTAAAACGAGAGTCCATCCACAATAGTAGTAACGCGAGATTCCTGATGGATTCGATGTTCGATTTCGCCGAGAGAGTCAACTCTCTGCGATTGTCCGACGCTGAACTTAGTCTGTTCTGTTCGGTGGTGGTGATCGCCGCGGACAGGCCTGGACTCCGTAACACCGAGCTGGTCGAACGTATGCACAATAAATTGCGAAACGCTCTGCAAACCATACTAGCTCAGAACCATCCCCAGCATCCGGATATCCTGAGAGAGCTATTAAAGAAGATCCCGGATCTGAGAACATTGAACACCCTCCATTCGGAGAAGCTGCTCGCCTTTAAGACGACCGAGCAACAGCAACAGATGCTGGCACAACAACAGCACCAGCAACAACAACAACAACAACAACAACAACAACAACAGCAACAACAGCAAACGCAACATGTGATCAGTGCTCAACAACCGCAGCAGCAGCAACAACATTGGCCAATGGAGGAGGAACCACCAGCGTCCTGGGGCTCCGCCTCCGACGTCACATTGGACGAGGCCGTGAAGAGTCCCCTGGGCAGTGTCTCGAGCACCGAAAGCACCTGCAGCGGCGAGGTCGCCTCACTGACAGAGTACCATCACGTAGCTCCACCCAGTGGTCACCACGCCTCCAGTGCACCGCTTCTTGCCGCCACTCTGGCCGGAGGTCTCTGCCCCCATCGTCGACGGGCGAACTCTGGCAGCACCAGTTCCGGCGACGATGAACTCCATCGAGCCTCCTTATCAAAAACACCGCAACCGCCCCAGTGCCCGCGATTCCGTAAACTGGATTCGCCCAGCGACAGCGGTATCGAGTCGGGCACCGAGAAACCGGACAAGCCAGCGAGCAGCAGCGCCAGCAGTGCACCAACATCCGTCTGCTCCAGTCCACGATCAGAAGATAAAGAAGTAGAAGATATGCCAGTGTTGAAACGTGTCCTACAAGCGCCTCCTCTCTACGACACCAATTCTCTGATGGACGAGGCGTACAAGCCTCACAAAAAATTCCGTGCTCTACGCCAGAAGGACAGCGCGGAGGCCGAACCAGCGGTGATTGTACAGCACACGCAATCCCAGTTACATCTTCACCTGACCTCCCCTCCAGCGCGAAGTCCCTCGAATCAAGCGCAACCCCAGTGCCCGCAGACCGCTAGCTTGCTCAGCAGTACGCACTCCACGTTGGCCAGAAGCCTAATGGAGGGCCCAAGAATGACCGCAGAACAACTGAAACGCACGGATATCATTCATAACTATATAATGCGCGGCGAGACCAGTCCCAGGTCGCCAGCTGTGTCGCCATCCCCAGCCGAACAGTGCGCCTCCACGACCACAATCACTGCTCGTTCACTTCAAGGATCTCAAGGGCTCTTGCAATGCGCCACCAGCAACTACTCGACGACCAGATGGCCGGCCACGTCGGTGATCACGACGACAACTGGCGCCAGACATCAGCAGCAACAACAGCAGCAGTCTTCCTCGGACTACCTCATGGTTGGGAACTCGCCAGCTTCGTCGCCAAGGTACCTGTCCGCGGCTGCCTCGAGTAGTACGAGCACGAGTCCAAGGCCCACCTCCAGCACCGCGGCGACGTTGATGCTGTCCGGTTGCCCGAGCAACATGATGGAGCTTCAGGTGGACATCGCGGACAGCCAGCAACCGTTGAACCTGTCGAAGAAATCACCGTCCCCGTCGCCGAGACCTCTGGTCGGCCCCTGCAAGGCTCTGTCCCTCGAGGCGTAGTGGTCACCCGCGGTATGTAACAGTCGTCTACGCGATGATCGTTCGTAACGTGTGTGCAGTTCCATCGGTCCCTCGATGATGGGGATTTTTGGGTATAGAAGTTGCAGCCCAGGCGCGCACACTGTCGCGGGAATGAAGAACGTAAACGAGTATATGAAAGTGCCAGGACGCTCTGAGCGCGTGATAAACCAAATAATTTATTAATTTAAACTATTAACCGATAAACTGCGCGACACGACACACGAATGGTTGAGGGGGGGGGGGGACAGGTGGCCGCGCGCGGTAGTCGTGTGTCCAGCCCCTCAGCATTCACTGGCACTCCTTCGGGAGTCTGAGCCTCGGATAGAAGAGGGTTCCTCTGTTTTCCAAATAAAACCGAGTGCGGTGAAACGAGAAATGGAGTATATCTATGGCTGCAGAATTTATCCTGCTACGGGACTGGTCTAGAGGAACTGTGCTATCGGGAAACGGCCACAGCTCCCCCCCCCCTCTCCCACCCTTGTCCCCCGTGGGAATCGGAAAAAAGAATAAGACGTGGAAAGATTGAATGTTAAACGGAAATTAATAATCTATCTACATGTGATAATCATGGAAATCGCGCATCCTGTACAGTCTCCACCTCATTCATCGATCATCTTACTCTACTATAATTATTGAATATTATAAAAGTAATTAATATTATTGTAACATGTGTAAGGTATAATAATCGTAAAAGTTATCATCTTGTGTATGTGGCGCGTAGAGGAAAGAAGAGACCACCGAGTGTTTCTGTGCATGTGTGCATGGGAGAGAGAGAAAGAGAGTGTGCGTGCGTGGAAAATCGACCAGGAACAAGAACGAATGGGAAAAACACGTGAGCGTGATTGTGCGCAAGTGAGTCGGGGCAAAATTGCAAAACAAATAACGGAAATAAAAATACCCAAAGCTTTTGCGATTGAGAGAGAATGATGATCCACGAAACTGTCATTTTTCTTTTTGTTTTCCTTTTCGACGAGAAACGTGTGTGTCCAGGAAGGCAAGCGACCCGCGAATTTAAAAAGAAACGTTTTAAAGATGTTTTTTTTTTTTCCTTTTCATTCACATGAGACTGAACCGGCCCGCCGCGGCCCCTCCAAGAGTTTTGCAGAAGTCAAAAATACCGTACCCTTTTTCGACACGTGGAACCGCCCTCTTCGGCCCAAATGATTCTTGCCGCTTATACACGTCTGCTAACGGTCGTCGCGGCAAGAATCATCTGGCGCTCAGGTGAGCAACCACCACGTGTCGTCTGACTCTCGTCTTTGTCTAGTACGAATAAGAAATCGTCTATAGAACGAACAAGAACAGTTTCTCGCGTGTCTTCTGGATGTCTCTGAGTGCAAAATGAGACATATAAACGCGGTGCATGTATAACGTAAAAAAGAATAACCAGAAATACGAAGGCACACGAGTGACGAGAATCGGTTCATGCAACTCCTTATGCAAATACGGCTGGCTCGCGCGCAAACGTTTCGCGAACCGGCAGCAAAGGGTGAAGGTTGCTACGATGGCTGCGAAATGCGGCACTATTCGTGCATATATATATATATATATATATATATATATATACATACGTATATATAGAGAGAAAGAGAGAGAACAAAGGCAGAGAAGTCGCGTGCAAGTTCGGTTAGAGATCGGCATACGTGGCGCAACAAGTGTAAATAGATAAAAATTTTCGTAAGGCTAAGTCGTAGGGAGCCGCCGCGAGTGGACGAGTTTATATTGTTTGCTTTCGTGAAAGAATCGCGCCTCTGGTTTCGACAGAAGAGAGAGGTGATAGACGACGAGGAATGAAATCCGTATCAGATACTGCGCGGCGGGCCGCCGTCGACGTGATGACTGTTGAAACGCCCGCCCCCGAACATCCCCCTTTTTGCTCCCCCAAAAGATCCCCTTTCCCCCCACCCCCCGGGTAGTACAGCGGAGAAACAGAAAATAACACGTATGTACACGCAGGTTTACGAAGAAAAAGAAATTTCAAGGAAACACACGCATATACATGTACACATCCGTAGAAACAGAAGAAAAAAAACGGAGAAGAAAATGAGAGGAAGAGGAAGGAAAGACACATACATATACATGCGCGCGCACGTAGAAAGCGAATCGTGAGACCACAGGCGAATATTGTCCGTTTGGATGGCGCATACGAAACCGAATTTTGTAGGGCGAATCAATGTGAGAGAAAGGAAATACCGAATTTTTTTTGCTCGATGGGCACGCGGAGTACCCCGTTTGTCTCGATACTATTTTTGAGCGCAGCTCTGTCAGATCATCCACACATCCCCCGATCGAACACACACATACACACGTACACATAAAAACCCGAAGAAGCTTGTCGCGTAGTGGAACACTCTGTGTATTTATTGTACTCGAGGAGAGAAATGAAAGAAAATGAAAATGTCATTCCCTTTATGGTCTGTGTATCATCACCGTTTTCTCCTATCCAACGACTCGTTTGATCGTCGTAAAAAAAAAAAAAAAAAAAAAAAAAAAATAATAATAATTCGCGTGTAGCAATCCTTGCTGTCTGAACAATTATTCCTCTCTCCTTCGAGTCGATCCTCCCTCTGGTGTTCCTTCGCCATTAGCAGCCCTCGCTAGAACACAACCACCCCTGTGAAAATCCACTTGAAATATTCCATCTGATTAACCGATGAAACACTCCAGAAATCGCGTGTGTCTCCTGTTCGCCAGCCCAAGTCCGTATTTGAATTCGAGAGATATCCCAGTTTCTCCTCCCTGTGTTGCGTTTTGATCTCCCTCTTTGGAAAGCAGAGAGGAAAATGGTGTTTCACACACCCGATCCTCCGGTTCTCCACCACCTCCCCTTTTACTGTCCTCTGAATCCGAAACCCCGCAAGCGAACTAGCGTTGATATTCGTAATACTTGTTATGCATAAACTACACATAATGATTATTATAGTAAACGATACATAAAGTATGATATATTTCTCTATCCATTAAGAAAGGAGGATATTAAACAAGCAAAGCTGTTGCTTCTCTGACGGAGCGACGAGCGTTTATTGAAACATATGGCATGAGAGATGAAAACCGTAAAATAATACCACGTGAATGCGAAAACAAAAATACCGAAAGTGTACTCTACAATTACATTGCAAGAATACAAAAAAAACACAAGCAGCCCCGCATATTGCCCAGTGAGCACGTCATTTTGTACGCTTGGGAGTTGTGAGGTCGTCTGAATAAACATTGTCTGGTGAATTATACAGAAAAATATATATATCGCTTTTTTTTCCGACTCCCTTTATACCGATTCCTTAGATTTTTATCCTATTTAGCAGGCCATACACGGTGAGCTTTACATCGAGGCCTGGTCTCATCAGGTCGTCTCACGTTTGTGACACGACCACCAACTCCCACTAACCACCAGTAACCACGAACTAGTGATAACAAATTGAGAGTAGTGATAACTAGTGATGACTAGTTATAACAAAGTAGAAATTAGTGATAACTAGTGATGGCAACAACATAACTAGTGATGCCAACTACCAAAAGTCCTAATACTCACGAACGGTAATGCACGAGAATACTCTCCAACCACCGACAAAAAACCCCGATAACCGTCATAAATATTCACCAACCGATAAAATAACGGTTCAAGCTCTCGTAATATACTAAAAACCAATTTGTGGTCCAAACAAGAACAAAAAAAATTATTCGGTTCACCGTATGCACCAGTGCGACACGGTTGCATAATTGGCCCCGGAAGAAGGAGAAGGGGGTTAGGGAGGAGGGGGTGGGTGGTGACGAGTGGTAGGTTTTCTTCGCGTGCGAGAAATCGAACCGGCCGGCACCGAAATCCCGGAGCGGAATCGCGGCGCGTGGCATCTCGTGGGCGTCGGTTCCTGCATAGACACCATCGGTGAGAACACTCCCCTCCCCATACAACGATCGTCCGCCCCCATACACGCGTTGCACATTATACGATGCATCCCGGTGTTAAGCCGCCACGCGCACCTCCCTTTGTGGGTGGATTCTAGCGTGGGCGGGCACGGACGTCAGAATGATCCTGACGGAACGACAGAATTATTCAGGTGTATCAGGTTGTTAAGGCGTCGGCTTCCCCCGCTTCCTTATTCCAGCTTATTTCTAGTATTTTATTTTTATTTATTTTTTTTGTCAACTTTTGCAATCTCTGATGACGGTTTGAATGGAGTTTCTGAGCGTGGGAAATAACCTGCAATCAGAGGGGGATGTTTTTAGGGGGGAGGGCAGCAAGGAGAACGTTTTATATGGAAATGTGGTTTTTATCGATACGATTGGTAAGGATTATTTCAGTTTGTATGTGGGAAACTTGTGTTATTAACACTAGAATTATTCACGATAATCATTCTAGATTGATGAAACAATTGGTGTATTTTATTTTGTTGGAGACGATGGTTTGTATGTGGGAAACTTGGATTATTTACCCTAGAATTATCGACGATAAACGTATATTTTATTTTAGGGGATTGATGGACGTGACAAACTTTTGAGAATATTCTAATTTATATATTTATAACGTCACCCAAGTATGGATGATACGTACACTGCGAAGAGGGCTGGATTACTTAAATATTGTTACTTAAAATTTTAAAAACAAGTGTAGTCTAAAAGAAGACTAAAAGCCTCTATTAACTATCAAGCATCTATTTCCGACGATTTATGACTTTAGAAGAAACTAACTAAAGCGTGTGTCTGAGTACGTACGGCAGTTTTCACTGTGGCAGTCAACGCGTTAACGAAGTATCATCTGCACAGACTAAGGGCCACTTGGACCAACTTCGAGTAACTTTAGCCAACGTTAAGCTCAATCAGCACCGTAGCTGACAATAAAACTTTTGTCGATCATTCTTAACCTATCTTTTATTGTTATCGTTATTATCGTATTCATCGAATAATACAAAATTAATGACTTCATTCACGTTGAAAGTATATTTTCGATATTTTAATGTATCACTTGATATTACAGTACAGAGTATATATCACACTTCGAACCTCGATTTTTTTATCGTTGGATGGACATTGGATGATTATTGGTTCGGTTAGTGCCATTTCGACCAACTTCGATTAACTTTAATCAACGAGTAACTCAATCAGTTATGCAAAAATAAAATATTTAACTATGTTGTTCTTACTCTAATCTCTTCAGAGTATATATCACACTTCGAAGAGATTATGGTAAGAACAACATAGTTAAATGTTTTATTACTACATTACTAACTGAATTAATCGTTGATTAAACCTAATCGAAGTCGGTCGAAATGCCACTAAAAGAACCAATTAATCATCCAATGTCCATCCAACGATAAAAAAAACCCGAGGTTCGACCAAAAAGCCTCGGCAAAGTCTCCGAAACACCAGAGTACACGATCCAAT